TCGTTGCAATACTTCAAATGGACCAATATACCTTGGTGCTAACTTCCCTTTGTTCCCGAAGCGCATTACTCGTTTATAAGGGGAAACTTTCAAAAATACCTTATCACCCACTTGGAACTCCACTTCTTTTCTCTTTAAGTCGGCATAACTCTTCTGTCTATCTTGGGCTTGCTTCATTCTACTTCGGATTAATCTTACATCCTCTATCATTTTCTGCGTCATTTCTGGCCCAAGAGCTGTACTCAACTCACTCCTTTCGCCAATCTCATCCCAATGTAGTGGAGACCTACATCGTCTACCATACAAAGCCTCGTAAGGCGCCATCTTTATTGTAGACTGATAACTGTTGTTGTAGGCAAACTCCACTAAAGGTAACATTTCGTGCCATGTCATTCTGTAATCCATACAGCAAGCTCTCAACATGTCCTCCAGCACCTGATTCGTTCTCTCTGTCTGGCCATCCGTCTGAGGATGATAGGCTGTACTAAATGCCAAACGGGTACCCAAATTTCTCTGCAAACTAGTCCAAAAAGCTGAAACAAACCTCGAATCTCTGTCTGACACTATTGTCTTGGGCACACCGTGTAATCTAACTACCTCTTTCACGTAGATCTGAGCCAACTGATCTGAGGTGGTACTTTCCTTTACTGGAAGGAAATGGGCGGCCTTAGTTAACCTGTCCACAATCACCCAAATGGCATTATAACCTCTCTGCACTCTAGGGAGACCTGTGATAAAATCCATCGAAATGCCACTTCTCCTCCTCGCCACGGCGAAGTTTCTTCTTCGCCCCGGCGAAGTTTGAATTTCCAACTTCACCAAAACTCAACCCATTTTCAAGGCAACAATTCAACCAACTCAACATACAAACTCAATTTAAGTTGAAACAATAAACTTTTAACTCATACAACAAATCTTAAATACGTACCTCAAGTGGGATATTACATTTTTCAACAAAATTTTATTTCTTCAGTTTTTCGTTTCAGTTACAGCTTAATCACCAATATCTTTCATGGTATCAGAGCCAAAGACTAACGTTGATGGCAAACACGAACTCTGAATCCTTTGCTAACTCTTCCAAGATTGATGCACAACAGCTTAGTAATGGCAGATCTCAAAATTTTACAAGTCACTCCTCACTTCCAAATCTTTCCGTAAAGCTAGTAGAAAAGAACTATAACTACTGGAGCTCTCAAATTGTATCAGCCCTAGCCTCTCATGAGCTAGATAGCTTCATTTTAGGTACAAATCATTGTCCTACTCTGTTTGTAATGGAAAAAGTAGAAGGTACTGAACATTCAATTGAACAACCAAACCCTAAGTATTTCAATTGGAAGAAAACTGATTAGTTCTTAGCAAGTTGGTTGCTCTCATCAATTTCAGAATTCATGTTTAGACATGTATCGAAATGTAATAGTGCATATGAGATTTGGCATACACTTGAATTACATTTTCAGTCCGTTTCAAAGGCCAAAACACTTCATCTTAGAAACTTATTACAAGTTACTAAAAAGGAGTCACAAATCACGAATGACTGTATTTTAACAATGAAGGAGTTAGGCGATGAATTGAATGATAGTGGAGTACACATTAGTGATGAAGAGTTGTTGTTATACATTTTGGATGGTTTAGGCTCAGAGTATGATGCAGTAGTAGCCAATCTTGTATCCAATGTAAGTCATACGAATTTTCAAGAAGCACAATTTCTGCTTCATAAGCATGAAATGTGTTTGGAGATACAGAACAGTGCATTGCTGCACTTTCATGAACAAATGGCATCTGCTTTAATGGCCTCTAAAAGTGGTATAGTTGAAAGATCTACCTCTAGTGCTCAAAATAATTCAAGAAGTGTGGAAAATCACTCTCCTGGTATGATAAACTCAACAGCAAATTTCTATCCACAAGTTGGAATGACAGCTCAACAATCACAACCTCATCTGATAAACTCAGCAGCAAATGTCTATCCTCAAGTTAGAATGACAGCTCAACAATCACAACCTCCTCAGAATGTTAACTTTGGACCTGGATACTCTTAACACTTCAATGGAGTTCCAAGACTGAATCATTTGGGAAATTACAGAACTAAGTATGATAGAATGGCTTTTAACAATGCACCACAAGGTTTCTCAGGAGGTTTTATGCCTTTTTCTAGAGGTCGATGAAGAGGAAGAGGCTATAGTAAGCAAAGATTAACATGTCAAGTATGTGGAAAGCCCGACCATTCAGCTATTCACTGCTTCCACAGATTTGATCAGGATTACTAGGCGTTCTCTACAACTGGATTTCCTAATGTAGGTCATAATCAATCATATCTTGTACCTGGTTCAACTCATTCCTCATTTCCAACAGCATCCAACGATCCTGCACAAGCACAAGCTCTCTTTGCTCGGACAAATTTTCAGGATAGATCTTTCCATATTGATGCTGGAGCTCATTATGATTACATTGCTTATGGATGACCTTTGGGAAATAAGTTTACACTGCTTATGGATGTCCTCTGGGAAATAAGTTTACACCTGGAGCTGTTAATACCACCTGTCTTCCTCAAGGGTTCAATCAACATCAGTAGTTCTGCTGGTTCTCTAGTTAATATAGTATATACTAATCCTGTTGCAAACCTTGATGTGAACTTAGCCTTAGGTTCTCATATGGCAACACCATAAACTATGAAGGATCAGTCCTGGTACATGGACTCAGGAGCATCCAATCACATGGTTGCTGATCCATCTAAAATGGTGAACAGGACCAACTATTCAAGTGGTTTCAAGCTTCAGGTTGGTAATGGTGAATCTCTGCAGATCACTCATACAGGTACAATGTTACTCCTATCACTTAATTCAAACAAACTTGTGCATCTTCAAAACATTTTATTTGTTCCAAAAATTGCCAAGAACTTATTGAGTATATCACAAATAACACGGGACAATAATGTGATAGTAGAATTCTATTCTGATCATTGTGTGATAAAGGATAGAAGCAACAAGCTGATACTTCTTCAAGGTACAGTTAAGGATGGCCTGTACCAGTTGGAGGTTCCATCTCAATGTTCTAACATTGCTACTGATGTTTCTACTGATACTTCCAGTTCTGGTGTTCTACTTGGTCCTCTAATGCTCTCCAGTAACAAATTAGAAGCTGCTTCTACTGTGATTCCAATAGTTAATAAGTCTGTCATTACATCTTTTGTATCAAATAAAACTCATGCTAGCAATATTTCAGATGATGTATCTGCTTCTTCATTATTGTGGCATGCTCGACTTGGGCACCCTAGTGCTAAGTCCTTACAAGTTGTATTAAATAAAACGCATGTAAAACATTCATCTGATTACAATGCAAGTTCTGTTTATGAAGCATGTCTGTTTGGGAAGTTAAAACAATGTAGTTTTCCTATTTCTTTATCATGAGCAAAGGCTCCATTGGAATTAATACATTCAGATTTGTGGGGACCTACCCCAATATTGTCTAGAGAAGGGTATCGCTATTACATAATCTTCTCGGACAATTTCAGCAGATTTACATGCATTTATCCACTTAAAGTCAAGTCTGAAGCATTTGAAGTGTTTACTCAGTTTCATACTTTTGTAGAAAAACAGTTCAGTGCTAAGATTAAAAGTCTACAAACTAATTGGGGTGGGGAGTTTCGGTCTTTTTCTAAGTATCTCAGCCAACATGGTATAATGTTCAGGCATCCCTGTCCTTATTTACACAAGCAGAATGGAAGAATAGAAAGAAGGCATAGGTCTATTACTGAATTTGGCCTGTCTCTCCTAGCTCATGCTAGCATGCCACTTAATTTTTAGTGACTGGCCTTTTCCACAGCAGTATATCTGCTTAACAGACTGCCTTCCAATGTGCTTAACTTTGTATCTCCTCTCACGATATTGATGCAACAAGAAGCTAATTACCATTATCTTAGAGTCTTCGGATGTAGTTGTTTTCCATATCTCAGACCCTACAGTAAACATAAACTCTCATTTCATACTGAAAAATGCATATTTATAGGCTATAGTCTATCTCACAAAGGCTATAAATGTATGTCAAACTCTGGAAGAATTTTTGTGGCCAAACAGGTGAAGTTTAATGAAGAGGAGTTTCCTTTCAAATCTGGTTTTTCTGGTGCTATAGACTTTGGTGCTTCTAGTACTGTATCAAACTCAGAGTCTGACTCTATTCCTTTAAGATCATCATCTGCCTGATTCATCCCTAGCTATACAGAAATTCCTTCTAGCAGGACTATTGACATGACTGTCACTAGCCTACCTGCTGAATTTTCAGAAGATACTAGTAGGAATGTTAATATAAACACAGTATCTTCCAGAAGTACTATCGAGAAGAATATCAGTGTAGACATACCCACTGCATCTCTAACATATGAGCAGGTTGTACTACTTACTGGCTCTCCAGTCCATGCACATAGTGTACCTGCACATTCTTCAGTCGTGACAACTTCAAATATCATTCCTAATGCTCATCGTGGTATTAATCTAGAAGTTGTACTACCTATCACAGCACCAAACACTGGTATTTCTTTTACTAATATACATCATATGGTTACACGGCTTAACTCCAGAAATGTACAATCATCAGCTCAAGCTTTCCTCACTACTCAGCCTATTCTCAAGGAACCTCAACAAGTTAAAGAAGCTCTCTCTATTCCTGAATGGAAGTCTGCTATGGAGAAGGAGTATCAAGCTCTACTTGACAATCAAACTTGGGAGTTAGTTCCATATAAGGAAGGTATGCACATAGTTGGCTGCAAGTGGATATTTAAAACCAAGCTTAACTCTGATAGAACACTGCAAAAGTATAAAGCTAGGCTTATGGCTAAAGGGTTTCAACAAACCCCTGGCCTAGACTACTTTGATACCTTTTTACCAGTGGTCAAGGTTGCTACTATTCGAATAATGTTCGCTTTGGCAGTTCATCACAGCTGGGAGATTCATTAGTTGGATGTGAACAACGTAGTTTTGAATGGGGATCTTACGGAGCAAGTGTACATGATGCCTCTTGAAGGTTTTTCTTCACCCACTCATCCACCACAAGTGTGCAAGCTTAGAAAGGCATTATATGGTCTAAAGCAAGCCCCTAGGGCCTGGTTTGATAAACTGAAAACAACCCTCCTGTCTTGGGGATTTAAAAACAACACTTCAGATGTGAGTCTATTCTTCTACAATGCTGGATCAGTGGTAGTGTATCTATTGGTCTATGTTGATGATATTTTAATAACTGAAAATGCTCCTGATCTTATCACTAAAGTAATCCAAGACCTGAATAGTCAGTTTGCATTAAAGGTGATGGGTCCAGTTCACTTTTTCCTTAGATTTGAGGTTAAAAGAAATGCTTCTGGACTACTTCTCACTCAGTCCAAATATGCACAAGATCTACTGGAAAAGGCAAATATGGCTGGTTGTAATCCTGGTTCAACCCCCATGACTGTTGGAACTAAACTCAGCAAAGAAGAGGGAGAGTTGTTTGACCAACCTACATTTTATCGGAGCATCATTGGAGGATTACAATACCTAACACTGTCCAGGCCTGACTTAGCCTTCACGGTGAATAAATTAAGCCAGTTTCTTCAGCATCCAACTATAGCACATTGGGTAGCATGCAAGAGGGTGTTACGGTGCATTAAAGGAACTCTGAACCATGGCCTGCAGTTTACAAAACATTCACATCTGGAGCTAGAAACCTATGTCGACACTGATTGGGCAAGTGATATTAATGACCGTAGATCTACTAGTGGTTATGCCATCTTCCTTGGTAATAATCTTGTTCAATGGAGTTCCAAAAAGCAGAAAGTAGTGTCCCTCTCATCCATAGAAGCTGAGTATAGGTCACTCAGTCAAGCTGCCACAGAAGTTGTCTGCATATAGCAGTTATTTCAAGAGTTGAATGTTAATATCAAGCATGCTCCTGTGATTTGGTGTGATAATATGAATGCAGAGGCTCTCTCCTCAAATCCTGTTTTTCATGCCCGTACTAAACACATAGAAATTGAGGTTCACTATGTGAGAGAGCTGGTTGCAAGGAAGGCTGTAGCAATGTAGTATGTTGCGTTTGAGTACCAAAAAGCATATATTCTGACCAAACCTTTATCTGGAGCAAGGTTTCAAATGTTGAGGGATAAGTTGAATGTAACTACAGAATTACCTGAGTTAACTGACTGAGAAACAATGCAGTAAAAGCACAGCAGAAAACTGACTAAGAGAACACTACAGAAGCTGAATGTGTTAGTAGAATGATATAGCAGAACATGTAGAAGTAAAATGCAGAATATGCAGAAAGCTGAATGTGCTAGTAGAATTTTTTTTTTTTTTTTTTTTTGAAAACTAACTAAGAGAACAATGCAGAAGCTGAATGTGTTAGTAGACTGATATAGCAAAAAATGCAGAAGTAATAGAAGTCAGTAATCAAAAGAGAGAAGTCTAGTTTAAGAGGGAATATTAGATAAAGTGTAGAAGAATTTCCTTGTATGTTAGAATGAGGTTTATCTGGAATGTTAAGAGAGAAGTTTTGTTTAAGAGGGAATATTTGATAAAGTGTAGAAGAGTTGAGAAGTTTAGTTTAAGAGGGAATATTAGACAAGGCCGGCTAAAGGGGTAGGCAGGTGAGGCACCTGCCTAGGGGCCCAAAAAAATGGGGGCCCAAATTTTTTATAATTTTTTTTTTTTTTTTTTTGAATATCTTACAAAAATGAAAATGATTTATAATTTTTTATCAAAACCAAGGGTCCCTCAAAAAAGCCATAAAAGCTCAAATTTATTATAAACTTTTTACATATATTCCCACCCAAGTTTAACAAAATAGCAAGTTTGTACCTCTAGTTTTATATATTCTAGTTTATACTCCTAAATTAACACATTGAATCTCTTTTAACAATGGAAAACTAAAATAGTCATTTACATATCTCAAATTACTCACTCTCAATTCAATCCCAAAATTTGACATTCACATAAATCATCTCTAGCCCTCTTTTGCCTCCAGTGGTTTAGAGTTGATTTCGGTCAATTTTGGTTCTGGTCGATTTTCTCACCAAAATCAACTGAAATCATCATTTTATCATTTTCCAACCTCGATAGCCCTCGATTTGACTAATTTTTGATGAATCTCGCAACCCAACTCCACCACACGACAGCCATTTCCAGCCTTTTTGGCATGTACCCAACATTGTTGGCCTTCCCCGACACCACCATCTTCCTCCCCTCAGCCCTCTCACCAAAACCCCTTTCATTCCTTATCCATTTACTCTGCCAATCGCCGGCCATCGATACCTTTTAGGCCGTGACTTCTCAAGCCTTTTCTTATCAATCTTGGCATTGGAAATCACTCATTTCACCACCCATCACTTCTCCAACATCTACTCTCCAAAACCCCCCACCAACCTAACCTTGTTAGCCTGCCGATTGTTATCCACCTCTCCTAGTGATTTTTCATCTTTTTATCTCAAAAGGCAAAAAAAAAAAAAATAATAATAATAATAACAATAATTTTTTAATATATGCTTATATTATTAGAAGACCCCAAAATAACTCCTGCCTAGGGTCACAAATGCTCTAGAGACGGCCCTGATATTAGATAAAGTGTAGAAGAGTTGTCCTATATGTTTGAATGGGGTTAATCTGCAATGGTGTAAAGAAAGGGGGTTTACTTTGTAATGGTCCAAAGAAGATCAAACGCAGCGTTTTAGAGTCTTGTCTGTTCAAAACGCTGTGTTTTCTACATTGTTCACCAACTATAAAAGAGTTGGTACTTGTCTTCAATAACAGAAAAATCACACTTGTTCACAGAATTTTATTTCTTCAGTTTTTCGTTTCAGTTATAGCTTAATCACCAATATCTTTCGGTTTGGGTGATTGCATTTTTTATTTATTTATTTATTTTAACATGATTTTTGTGTTTTATTCATTTTTTTACTAACCTTTTTTTCATGGAGGCAAATCTTGGGTAGTGGACCGTCCAAGCACACATATCCTCGTTCAAAAGAATAGTTTTGGTGTAGAAAGTCTCGATTCAAAATTTTTCATTGCACGGATTTCATAGTAAATAAGGTGATAAGCATGTAGGTTTAAAGTCAAACCGACTCCAAGAACACACGTCCATAAACTGGTTAAAAAAAATTAACCAATTTAAGGATAGTCATTAACACGGTCAACTCGCAGATTTGAAAGTCTAAACCAATTATTAATATATTATTTATCTCTCACGGGTTTTACTAGACTATGTTATCAAATGTAAAACAATTTCTTCCGCATTTGCATCGATGCCAAAGACTTCTGCAATTATAAATTCTTTTGTCTATTTTAATGTTTTATTTATTTATTTATTTTAACACTATTCTTAGTGCTTTATTTGTGTATTTTACTTTTTTTTTTTTTCATGGAGACAGATTTTGATCCACAGACTGTCCAAGCACAAATACCATCGTTTAAAAGGATATTTTTGGTGTAGAAAGTCTCAGTTTAAGATTTTTCGTTTCACGGATTTCATAGCAAACAAAGTGATAAGCATATAGGTTTAAAATTCAAACCAACTATTCCAAGAACATGAATACCTAAACTGGTTAAAAAAATGTAACCAATTAAAAGGTGTGAGCTTAACATTATATTTAGTCCAATAGTCATTAACACCATGAAATTGTTTTTAGAAATAATTTTGTGCCGTGAGAAATCACTTATGCATATATTAAATCAAGATCAATAACATATAAAATAAATCATAAACTGTACGAGGATACAATAATTCAACCTATTACCCAAGATGATAATAAAATATGATATAACAAATCATGAAACACGTTTTACCAACTTGGTTAGCAGATAAGACGTCGGTGTGCGCAATAGTCAAAAAAAACTTTCCGAAATGGACAAAATTTTATTATTAAATTTCCCAAAGAGAATTTGATCTTTGCGAAAGAAAACAAAAGTCTTGCAAGAAACTTTAAAAGTCTGGTGGCAGCACCTTGCGCACTTATAGCCAATCGTTTTACAGCAGGGATTTTATAAATGTGTTCAATCTCCATTAATATTCCATACAGAAATCAATAATGGCTGTTCATCCTCATCGTCTGGTGTTAATGTTTCACATCCTTCTCCTACTTTGGCAAATCAAAGCATCACAAATTTTATGTCCAAATAGCTGTGGCAATGTCAAAATATCATACCCTTTGGGAATCGGTGAAGGCTGCTACCTCAACAAGTGGTTTGAAGTAACTTGCGACAATTCTTCTGGCTCTCCAAGAGCTTTCCTAAACAGCGTCCATCTAGAATTAACCGGAATTCTTCATTCTTCTTCCTCTATAATCGTCAACTTCCCCCGCAATTCAAGCATCAACCTGTCCGGGAGCCCGTTTTCATTTTCGAATACAGACAATATATTCACTGCCATTGGTTGCGAAAACTACCTCAATCTCAATCAGAAAGATTCAACCCTGAGTCACTGCCACTCTTTTTGTACTTGTGCTCCTACGCAAAAAGATGATTGCTGTGATATCCTATGCACCCTTCCTCGAAACCGTAAGTTAGACAATGTAAACATGTCAGAAATTTATTCTGAAGGTTTTCCCAAGGAGTGCAGTTCTGCCTTCATGGTTCATAAAACTTGGCTTGAATCAAACTACCTAAAAAATCCTTACGTTTTGAAAGATAAAGAAGTCCTTCCGGCAACTCTGGAATGGGGAAAATACGGAGGTTCATGTGTGGAACTCTATAATTCACACAAAACAATTTGCAACAAAGATGATTACTGTGTCATTCAATTAAACTCAGACTATTTTTGTCTTTGCGATAATCAAAGATCTGAAAGCTATGGAGGATGCAAAGGTAGATTTACTCTATTAATTATGTTTATAGCCACAGTCATTTACTTGTAATTATGATTAAACTTTGTGTAGGTGGCTTGCTTTGTGTTTCGAAGAACGACACCGGTTGCTCCGAATGTCCTTATGGTTATAAACCTCGTCAAAGTGAATATGAAGAAACATGGTGCTCTCCTTCACGAAGTTCTGACCATATATTTATTAAAAAAACTCCAGTCAAATATTTAATCAGCATAGGTATCCAGTATCGTTGTCCTTCTGTTTCAACATACATTAAATTTCTTTCGTACCATTAACGCAAAACTCGCGAATATTTATGATGTATTCTTTTCCTTGAATTGTGCAGGTTTTAGTGCTGGGCTTGGAATGGTGTTACTTATCATTGTAGGATGGTGGTTGTCCAAGTATATAAAAAAACGGAAAGCAATCAAACTGAAGCAGAAGTTATTTACAAGAAATGGTGGGAGCGTTGAGAAAACAAAATTGTTTACCTCAAGGGAATTGGAAAAAGCCACCGACAATTATCATGCCAATCGAGTTCTTGGTGAAGGAGGTCAAGGTGTTGTATATAAAGGGATGTTGTCGGAAGGAAAAATTATAGCTATTAAGAAGTCCAAGATAGTGGATGAAAGTAAAATTGAAGAATTCATTAATGAGGTTATATTACTATCACAAATTAGTCACAGAAATGTAGTTCAACTAGTAGGGTGTTGCTTGGAAACAGAAGTGCCTCTTTTAGTTTATGAGTTCGTTTCTAATGGAAATCTTTTTCAATATTTACATGACCAAAATGAGGAGTTTCCATTCACATGGGAACTACGATTACGAATTGCCTTTGAAGTTTCAAGTGTGCTAACCTATTTGCATTCAGCTGCTTCCATAACTATATATCATCGAGATATTAAGTCCACAAACATACTTTTGGATGAAAAATTTAGAGTAAAATTGTCAGATTTTGGAACTTCAAGATCTATTGCAGTTGATCAAACTCATTTGACCACTCAAGTAAAAGGGACTTTTGGGTACCTTGATCCAGAGTATTTCTGGTCGAGCCAGTTTACTGAGAAAAGTGATGTTTATAGTTTTGGAGTAGTTCTTGCTGAACTTTTAACTGGACAAAAGCCAATTCGTTCAAATGTTGTCGAGGAAGATAGAAATCTTGCTGCGTATTTTCTATGCGCCATGAAAGAAAATTGTCTATTTGAAATCCTTGATGCTCGAGTTAAGAAAGAAGGTGAAAAAGAAGAGATTATGACAATCGCCAATCTCACAAGAAAATGTCTGGACTTAAATGGAAAAAATAGACCTACAATGAGAGAGGTAACAACCGAATTGGGAGGGATCAGATCTTCAAGATGCGGCTCAAGTATGTACCATATGAATATTGAAGAGACTAATTTTGTTCACGGTGAGTTAACTACTTAGTTTGAGAATAGTTTAACCTTTGCTAGATAGTTTATTGATGTTGTCACTTTCTCAATAGGCGTGTACCATTAATTCATTTCACATAAGAATTGATTTATGAAGTTTCCATCCTCTGTGTAAAATTATGAGACTTTTTCTTTATCACTAAGTCCTCTGTGTAAAATTATGAATTTAAAAAAACCACTTCTCTTTTCGTAGAGGTTCTGAGTGCTTCATGTCCTATGTTCTATCTGTGGCTGAAGGCAAAGGAGAGAAGTTCACTCCTGGAAAACACTTGAGCTCCACACAAGCTTCAGTCGCTGAAGACATGCTCTAATATCAGCAAAGGAACCATGTTCCAACCACCATTCAACAATGAATATAAACAAGAAAGTTCCTAGCACAAACCCATATAAAAGAACCTAACCAAGAACAACTCTCTGAAATGTTCAAAGCACCAACAAAATAGATATTCAGGTTCAAAAAGAAAAATAAACAAGGAAGAAGATGAACTTCCTTTTAGCTCAACAAAGATGAAGGATGATAAGTGTTTGGCACAAAAACGTATGGGAAACCTTTAAGAGATAAACTCTCTGAAAGCTTCAGAGCACAAAGCAAAAACAAACATAAAGGTTAGCCAAACAAATTGCAAGAATAGAGAAAATAAACCCAAATTCGTGCACTCCAATTTTGGCCAGGTCAGCAGACAAAGGCTAACATGTGTTGGTCCAAAAATAGAAATGTTTTCAGCTATAGTTTAGGACGATAACCAAAAAGGGGAAAATGTTGATTTAACCTAGACCACTAAAGGATATTGGGACACCTGTAAATGATCCAAATGACAGTATAAAAGATACAAAGAAAATATTTTAACTGTTAAGTAAAACATGCAACATGTGCCAAAGTGAGTTAGACATGCGATGTTAGCACAAAAAAAGAGTGTGCACACACTCGAAAATAAAATGCGAAAAAAATCTAAAATATGCAAATGTCTGACATACCTGTGCACATACACAATTATAGTGCACACATAATATATATAAGTTTGACAAAAATATTCAAGAATACCTAATTTTATAATTAAGTCCAACTAAACGTCAGGCTACCCAAAGTGCATTGACATCACCCAACATGCCATAGTAAAAAAATATGTAGAGCAACTGAATTTTTTTTTTTTTTTTTTAACATATACATGATTTGAATGAGATTACATATTGCTTTAAAGAAGGTTTATCCTATCAGATGCAAAACAAGATTAGAATCTATAAATAGATGGAACGAAATAAATTATTTACTGAAAATGTAAACATTATCGGTAATCCGATAGTGATGGAAATAAACTACAAACTACTTTCTCCCTCGTCTAAATACTCTAGCCACGAGTTGGATATATAGAAGAGAGCCTGGGCAGTTTAACTTCTTCTTTTTTTTTCTTTTTTTTGTGTGTGTGTGTGTGTTTTGCAGGTACCTTTGCTGCTGGCATTGCAGGTCCTATGATTTTAATACATTTCTGGAGTCTTTCATCTGGGATTGTGCTGCATGGTTTATTCCTTCTGCCTTTGGCTTGTGTTGTGTATGGGCTGNCACAGATGACTTTGTTATCATGAACAACCACAGGAACCTTCTTATGAACTGGATTCAGTTCCAGTAGTGTGGAGCTCTTGTTAAAGATGTCTTCTTCACTGTAGTCGTAATCAACACCCTTCAACTTCAAGGCCCATTCTACTCGAAACGAAAAGGGGCTGCACCAGAATCCCAAGAGCTTCACTTGCGTTGCCATTTATAATTTTGCTGTTTCTGTTAGCGAGTGAGTTGCCTAGTGCTATTTCCAGACTTATATACAAAAGTTACCAGACGGCAATTTTGACTAATTGAATATTAAGGTTGATTTGAGGCGGCGTATGGAAAATATTACACCTTTAGAAAATTAAAGTCTTATGTTGCTGACGGACCAATTAGGTGTCCTAACGTAACAAGGGTGTTGTGCATGAGTTTGATTTAAAGCTCGGAAGTTTTGGTAGCTCGAACAACGTTAAACTCGCTATTACAATGCAAGGCCGGCTTAAAGGGTTGGCAGGTGAGGCACCTGCCTAATGTGACGCCTCTCAAACATTTCATCGAACATTTAGTGTGCGTCATTCGGACATTCTAGAAGCTTCCGGAATACTCTTATATATGCTAGAATATTGTAATTAATGTGGTAGTTGGTAGATAGTAGTTGGTAAGTGGTAGTTTGAAGTTAGCTAATCTCCACCATTGATTTCAGGAGATCTAGATCGTTCATTGTAAACTCTAACTACTATAAAAGGGGGAGGCCTTCATTTGGCCAAACCATCCAAGAATTGTAAAGTTTTCTCAATTAGTAAAGAGTTCTCTTCTAGCATCTCTTGTGAGTTTGTGTGAGTGTTTTCTTACTTGCAGGGCTAGGAGCGTGAGCAAGCAAGGCTGACTTGGGGCAATCGTCGGGAGATTAGCACCTAAGGCCGAACGAGTCCAAAGGGAATCAATCGGGTCGTTACAGTTGGTATCAGAGTGGGAAGATTCTTGGTTCAAGATGTCGTCCGAAGTTTGTCATGAAGAGCAAAGGGGGAGGGAAGCCAATCCTAACCCCAACCCTTCCAAGAAGAACTCTCGAGGCGAGAAGGACAAGTCCGTGGACGTGATTGCCTCCATGGAAGTGCTGGTGATGCGCAACGAGGTGAATGTTGCCGAAGTGAAGGAACACCTCGACGTCCTCAATCAAAAGATGGACGATGTTGAAGGCATGGTCGAAACCATAGGAGAGTTTCGCCAACATGTTGCCGATAAGCACCAAGCTTTTGAGGAGTTCCAAGCGGTGGTGTTGGACTCTCTCAGGACATTACAAGCTCAAGTGGAAGAGCTCCGATCGGGTCTAGAGGAAAGCAAGGGCGATTGGGCATTTTACAAGAGGGGGGTGGCGAACGGGGTCGTCACCAATGCCGCACCTCCCGCAAGGGTCGAAGTTCCAAGACCGTGGAAGTATGGGGGAAAGCGGGATGCCCAAGAGCTGGAGAACTTTCTATGGTCCATGAAGAGGTACTTCGAAACTACTAATGTTCAAAGTGAGCAAGAGAGGGTGAACATTGCAACCGGGTATCTTGAAGACCATGCAATCGCGTGGTGGCAACGGAAGCATGCTGAGATTGTGCAAGGCACATGCATCATCAAAACTTGGGAGTTGCTCAAGTGTGAAATCAAAAAGCAATTCTATCCGGGCAACGTAGCATACGAGGCCTATTTCCAGGTATGTGGATGAGTTTTCTAAACTTATGCTTCAAGTTGATAATATGAACTCGGAAGATTTTCTATTCAACTTATGGAGGGGCTCCAACCATGGGCACAAAGGGAGCTCCAAAGGCGTCAAGTTACCAATATCTCCACCGCCCTTACCAAAGCCGACACCCTTGTTGAGTTCCGCAAGGGATAAACATCTAAGCCAAAGAAGGATGGCAAGCTCAATCACGGCAAAGGTGGGGGAGGAAAGGGAGACAAATCATCCCACCCAGAAAAGGGAGATAAGCCGCCTCACAAGAAAGAATGGCGGAAAGATGGCAAGAAGGAATACAAGCGCCGTGAGAATTGTTATCTTTGTGATAGGGACCATTGGATCCGTGACTGCCCCAAGCGCAAGGCCTTCAATGCCATGTTCGAAGAGAAACAACCTGAGACATTCGCATCCGAGACTGCCAATATGGGATGCCTCCAACTTCTCAATGCCTTAAAGGTAAAGCCCGCACAACCGAAAGTTCAAGATAAGTCCCTCATGCATGTCGAAGCGACCATCAACGGGAAGAAAGTTCAAGCCTTATTAGACACGGGTGCTTCCCACAACTTCATCAAGGATAGCGAGGCAAGACGATTAGGTCTCAAGGTGGAAAAATCAGACGGATGGCTCAAGATGGTGAATGCTGAAGCTAAACCACTTGGGGGCGTGGCTCGGAATGTTGAGCTACATCTTGGCACATTGAGCGGTAAGGTATCATTTTCTGTTGCACCTTTAGATGATTTTAACCTTGTTCTTGGCATGGAGTTTCTCAGGCAATTCAATGCGGTACCCCTACCGCGATACAACTCTATGTGCATCCTTGAGGAAGTCCCGTGCATGGTTCCGACAGTGAGCAAAGCCGCACCAAACAACCAACTCTCCACAATGCAAATTGAGAAGGGACTTAAGCGAAAGGAAGAGACATTTCTCGCCATGGTGCATGAGTTGGAGGACGAGGGAGGTGTGAACAACATGGAGCCGATACCAGGGGAATTATCCCAAGTCCTTGAAGAATACAAGGATGTCATGCCATCCAAGTTGCCAAAATGCCTACCACCTAGGAGGGAGGTGGACCATAAGATCGAGCTAGAGCCGGGAGCCAAACCACCAGCCAAAGCTCCATACCGGATGTCGCCACCAGAGTTAGACGAGTTGCGAAGACAACTCAAAGAACTCTTAGAGGCCGGATTTATCAAGCCCTCGAAAGCACCATACGGAGCTTCGGTTCTCTTTCAAAAGAAGTATGATGGGTCGCTTCGCCTTTGCATCGACTATCGGGCACTCAATAAGGTAACCATAAAAAACAAGTATCCCATTCCACTAATTGCCGATTTGTTTGATCAACTTGGACATGCCAAGTACTTTTCTAAGCTTGATTTGAGATCGGGGTATTACCAAGTGCGGATTGCGGAAGGGGATGAGCCGAAGACCGCATGTGTGACGCGTTACAGAGCCTTTGAATTCAAAGTCATGCCATTCGGCCTCACTAATGCCCTTGCTACATTTTGCACCCTCATGAACCATATCTTCCATCCATATCTTGATCGGTTCGTGGTGGTTTATCTCGACGACATTGTGGTGTATAGCAACACTCTTGAGGAGCATGCCGAGCACTTGTGGATAGTTTTCTGAGTGTTGCAAGAAAATAAGCTATATGTCAAGCGGGAGAAGTGTTCATTTGCCAAGCCGGAAGTAGAGTTTCTCGGCCACAAGATCACGGATGGGAAGCTCATCATAGACAAAGCCAAGGTGAAGGCTATTGCGGAATGGGAAGCTCCAGCAAAGGTTACCGACTTGCGCTCTTTCTTGGGCCTGGTCAACTATTATCGGAGATTTATCAAAGGCTATTCCACCATTGCCGCGCCACTCACGGATTTGCTAAAGAAGGCCATAAAATGGGAGTGGACGGTTGATCGCCAACATGCCTTTGACACTTTGAAAAGGGCCATCATGGAGGAACCGGTGTTAGCATTGCCCAACCATGCCCGACCATTCGAGGTACATACTGATGCATTCGATTTTGCTATTGGAGGTGTGTTAATGCAGGAGGAACATCCCATAGCCTTTGAAAGCCGGAAGCTCAATGATACGGAGTGGCGATACACGGTGCAAGAGAAAGAGATGACAGCCGTGGTGCATTGTCTACGCACTCGGCGGCATTACTTACTTGGGTCCAAATTCTTAGTGAAGACGGACAATGTGGCAACAAGTTATTTCCAGAGTCAGAAGAAACTCAGCCCCAAGCAAGCTAGATGGCAAGATTTCTTGGCGGAGTTCGACTATGTGTTAGAGTACCAGCCTAGAAAAGCCAACTTAGTAGCGGATGCATTGAGTCGGAAGGCTGAGTTTGCAGCCATAAGCAAGATACAAGGGGATCTTCTCAAGCTTATAAGGGAGGGTCTCGATCATGACGCATTGGCCAAGCAACTCATTTCCTTAGCTCAAGACGGCAAGACCAAACGCTTTTGGGTAGAAGATGGCCTCCTGTACACTAAAGGGCGAAGTGTGTATGTTCCGAAGTGGGAAAATTTGCAGAGGAACTTGATCAAGGAGTGTCACGACACTAAATGGGCCGGACATCCCGGACAAAGGCGCACCCAAGCATTATTAGAAGCAGCCTACTATTGGCCACAAATGCGGGACGATGTGGAACAGTTTGTGAGAACTTGTCTTGTGTGTCAACAAGATAAAGTCGAACACCGAAGCCCCGCTGGATTACTGGAACCGTTGCCCACACCTAGTCAACCATGGGAGAGCATCTCAATGGATTTCATAGTGTGCTTATCAAAATCCGAGGGGTTTACTACTATTATTGTTGTGGTGGACAGGTTATCAAAGTATGCTACCTTCATCCCCGCACCAAAGGAATGTACAGCGGAAGACACGGCCAAGCTCTTTTTCAAGCATGTGGTGAAGTATTGGGGTCTTCCAAAGTCTATAATCAGTGATCGCGATAGTCGGTTCACAGAGAGATTTTGGATCGAGTTGTTCAAACTTATGGGGTTGGCATTACACTTTTCCACAAGTTTCCACCCTCAAACCGATGGGCAGACCGAGAGGGTGAATGCTTTGCTAGAGATTTATCTACGGCACTTTATGAGCGTCAACCAACTTGATTAGGCAAAGTTGATCGATGTAGCCCAATTTTCATACAACTTGCAGATGAGTGAAGCCACCAACAAGAGCCCATTTGAGATGGTGATGGGCCAACAGCCGCTTACGCCGCACATCTTGGGTACAAGTTATAAGGGGAGCAGCCTTGCGATATTCAAAGTTGCTAAGTCATGGCACGAGCAAGCCGACATCACATGGGCATACCTTGACAAAGCAACCAAGAAAATGAAGAACTGAGCGGATAAGAAACGGAGGCATGTGGAGTACAATGTGGGAGATCTAGTACTTGTCAAAATCCTCCCATCACAACACAAGTCCACCCGGCTACTACACAAAGCCCTTGTTCGAAGATATGAAGGGTCATTTCCCATAATCAAGAGGGTCGGTAATGTATCCTACAAGCTTGAGTTACCCTCTTGGTTGAGACTTCATCCGGTCTTCCATGTAAGTTGTTTGAAGCCATACCATGAAGACGCAGAAGATCCGGAAAAGGGAGAATCAAAACGAGCACCATTTGGCAACAACAAGTTCTATGACAAGGAGGTAGAGTGTGTGTTAGCCGATCCGATCATTCGACAAAATGGCCACTCTCCAAGTCGAGAATACTTTGTCAAATGGAAGGGGTTACCAAAGAGTGAAGCTAGTTGGGAACCTGAAGATGCATTGTGGCAATTCAAAGACAAGGTCCAAGAATTCCACAAAGAGTCGACGAGGACGTCTCCGGATTAGGTGGGGGAGAATGTGACGCCTCTCAAGCATTTCATTGAACACTTGGTGTGCGTCACCCGGACATTCTAGAAGCTTCCGGAATACTCTTGTATATGCTAGAATATTGTAATTAATGTGGTAGTTGGTAGATAGTAGTTGGTAGGTGGTAGTTTGGAGTTATCTAATTTCCACCGTTGATTTCAGGAGATCTAGACCGTCCATTGTAAACTCTAACTACTATAAAAGGGGGAGGCCTTCATTTGGCCAAACCATCCAAGAATTGCAAAGTTCTCTCAATTAGTAAAGAGTTCTCTTTTAGCATCTCTTGTGAGTTTGTGTGAGTATTTTCTTACTTGCAGGGCTAGGAGCGTGAGCAAGCAAGGCTGACTTGGGACAATCGTTGGGAGATTAGCACTTAAGGCTGAACGAGTCCGAAGGGAATCAATCGGGTCGTTACACTAGGGCCCCAAAAAAATGGGGGCTCAAATTTTTTATAATTTTTTTTCTTTCTAAATATCTTGTAAAAATAAAAATGGTTTATAATTTCTTATCTAAGCCAAGGCGCCCCCCCCCCCCCCCCCCAACAAAAAAAAAAGCCATAAAAGTCCAAATTTATTATAAACTTTTTACATATATTCCCACCCAAAGTTTAACAAAATAGCAAGTTTGTACCTTTAGTTTTATATATTCTAGTTTATACCCCTAAATTAACACATTGAATCTCTTTTAATAATGGAATACTAAAATAGTCATTTACATATCTCAAATTACTCACCCCCAATTCATTCCCAAAATTTGACATTCACATAAATCATCTCCAACCCTCTTCTGCCACCAGTGGTTTAGAGTTGATTTCAGTCAATTTTGGTTCTGGTCGATTTTCTCACCAAAATCGACCGAAATCATCCTTTTATCATTTCCCAACCTTGATAGCCCTCAATTTGACTAATTTTTTATGAATCTCGCAATCCAACTCCACCACATGACAACCATTTCCAGCCTTTTTGGCATGTATCCAACATTGTTGGCCTTCCCCGACACCACCATCTTCTTCCCCTCAGCCCTCTCACCAAAATCCCTATCATACCTTATCCGTTTACTCTGCCAATCGCCGGCCATCGATAGCTTTTAGGCCGTGACTTCTCAAGCCTTTTCTTATCAATCTTGGCATTGAAAATCACCCATTTCACCACCCATCACTTCTCCAACATCTACTCTCCAAAACCCCTCACCAACCTTATCTTGTTAGTCTGCCGATTGCTATTCACCTCTCCTAGTGATTTTTCATCTTAAAAGGCAAAAATATATATATATATATATATATATTTTTAATATATACTTATATTATTAAAGGGTCTCAAAGTAACTTCTGTCTAGGAGCATAAATGTTCTAGAGACAACCCTGTTACAACGTAGACCTTGCAGTGATCTAAAACTCGTTGCATTTTGAAACTCGTAAAGACATAGAGCTTGGAAGTGCATGAAGCTTGCTACGGCCTACTTAACAGCTTTTTTATAGGTGAAGGGATATCAACACTCGATCAGTCCGACTTTGACGCGCAATCACTCGATTCTATGTTGACTTGAAGGTGATCATGTATTTGGTGATTCACCATTATAAAAAACATTTGTAGGCAAAACAACATTTTTCAATAGGGTAAGGACGTAATCGCACTCGTCATATTCATGTTTATTGAACAAACAGAAGTTTATTTAATGAAAATGATTGACATTGTAAGGACTCAAATACCTGCCCGTTTATTTTATTTCTGCTCACTCGAGAATATACTCAAACAACAGCATTGCCTTATAAAGCATAATTACCTGTGAGGCAGCAAGCCACTGAATTATTGCCTTAGTTCAAGATCTCCCCCAAAACCACCACATCCCCAATTCCCATTCACAATCCCAGGATAATCCTTATGGCTCAGAAACTGACTTCTCGTCTGTCAGAGTTTCCAAGCATTAGATCTACATATGTTCCTTTATTTGTAACCATTAAGAAAAGAATTAAAGATTTAATCTTCGGTTTAGTGTACAGAAGCAAGATCAATTTATTCTACATTTACAAAACCTCAACTAACAGTGCTTATAATTATAAAAGCTAGTCCAACATGTTTGCCAACGTCCTTGTTGTATGTGATTTTTCCTTCAAGCTCAGAGAATTACGAGGTTATAGCTCGATCTAGAATCAGTTTGACTTTTCTGATTGTCTGACCTAACATAAACTTGTAGAGTTGTTGCTCGTAAAGACAGAAAAATTTGATACACCTGCACAACTCTGTGCTTACCTTAAAGGTCTGGAAGTCCTACAACGGGCTATTTTTGTGGAGCATGTTGAATTTGTTATATTGAAATATTTGCCTAACCTGCTCATTTCGAATTTTCTGTTTTAAGTATTGTAGAGTTCGATTCAAGAATATTGGGATTAACAGGACCAGATAGCGCCATAAGGCAGATGGCACAGGAATACCGTGTTTATTTCAAGAAGGTCGAGGAGGAAGGGGGTGATTATCTTGTTGAGTCTTCCCACGGCATGTGAGTCACAACTCCCAGACACCATTATTTCTTTCCTTTACCTTTGTTCGCGCTAAGGTCTTTCCCGGTTTGCGCTCATTGATCATGTGACGTTGAATCGACAGGTATTTGATGAACCCAAACATGGAGGTTGTTAGATGTTTTGGGGTTGAGTACACTTCAGAAGAACTAGCAGTAGAAATACTAAAGCAACTGAAGAAAACTCCAGCAACTTGATCATTCAAATCCCTTTCAAGCCACCTACCGAGGAAACTACCTCATTTTCGGACCTTTCCAGGTAATAAGAGAAGAAAAAACTCCATGTATGACTTTTACTCGGGGTGATTGATACCATCTAACAAGTCCTTGACAAGAGTTGGACATTCAAATCACTTGGCTGAAGTGTAACTTAGCCAATTTTTTTTTACCAAATTAACATTTCTTCCTTGTAGGATCATACACTGACTCAACTAATTCACAATGAAAATGAAAGTTTTTCTTTGGAAAGGTGATCTTGTTATCGTGATTAGTACAAGTTTATCGATTAAACCTCTCCCATTGTGGCTGGATGGTAAGCTCTTTAATTATTAGGATTAGCTATACTAAGGGGTTTTGTATTCGAGTCGAGGGAGCTTGTAGGGTCGGCTGGCAATTGTGCTCAGATATCTCTGTTATCCAAAAAAAGAGAAAAACACTATAGTCCTTTCCATGACTAACCGTCGGTAAAGGAATCCTAATTGAAGCCCCATTCCAGAATTAGGCTACTTTGGCCGATAATATTATCAAATTGATATTATTATATGGATGTTATAACGTGTATTTTTTTAATAAAAAATTATTTATAATTTAGGTAATATTACCCCAATTGGCATGCAAAATGTCAAATTGTTTCTAGAGACGATGGAGTTGATGAGTCAATGTCATTCCCCTACCCACCATTGAACTTTTCTTTGGGCAATTGACCAAAATGCTTAGCCTAATTAATTCTATAAATTCATTTAATACCCACTTCTCAGAATTAATGACTCCTTTCAATCGATTTGGTCATTTTTTCCCAGAATTTAAAATCTCTATTTTTCATACCAATTACTTTTAATTATTAAGTTTAATCATCCTTTTCTGTCCATTGACTATTTACTTTCCCACATTTTCTTGACAGCCAAGCATACCCATCAAATCAATAAATTAATATTTGAACCAATTGGTTCAAATCGAAAGGATCAAACCAGACAGAAAAATTTGGACATTACATGGGATTATTAATTATTAATAATGTTTTGAAATTTATGTCGTGAAAGCAACTAAAAATGTTGTATATCGCTGAATATTTTCCACCAACTTTGACAAATTAATTCATGTACCATCCTCGATTTAGATCATATCATTAATTATTATTATTATTACTCAATGTCGTCTTATATATTTATATATTTGTATATAATTATTTTCTCGTGTGAACCTTTTTTTTTTTTTTTTTAAATTTGATGCCAATCCCTTGTTATCATACAAATTTTGTAAGATTTTTTGTCGAAATTTTGTTCTATAATAGTTTTTATGTTGGAAAACTGTCTAATTAATTTTTTATATATAAATATAAATAGAGAAAGAAATTGAACCTTAATTATTTTTTTTTTATTTTAAGAAAAAAGAAGTTTATAAATTCTTTATTTATTCTTCTTTATTTATTAAGAACAAAGGAGAATCTATTTATTTTTAACACCAAAGAGATTCTTAAAAAAAAAGCGACCATCACAATCTAAATAATATTGATTAAGATACAATTCAATAAATTAATATTCCACAACTTAAAAAATATTGTTCTTGAAAGTGAGAATTAGTGGCCAATTATAAAAATATCAGGCAAAAACTCAAACTTAATTGCAAAATGTAATTAATTATATTTAATTTAGTATATATAATTTGTATTTAAAACTCAAAACGTGCAATCCTCTTCCTCTATAAGTCTTGGCTGGCTATTTATTGAATTATTAATAAAGCTAGAAAATTAAGCAATATCACAAAGAGAATTTAAGGCTAATCAAAATTAATTAATCCCTTGCTAAAATTCTAGAGATCCTCATTTATTTAAAGACCGATTCTCTTGCTGCCCTATTTCCCCCCCTTAACACAAACCAAGCAACACACAATAGTTGTAAGGAAAAAAAAAATTTATATAAAAGTAATTACAAAATTAAAAATAAAATTAGATTAATCTAATCCAAATTTTAATCACAATTAAACCACCAACCCTTGAGCTTAATTAACGTTCCTCATAATTACATCTCATCTTTGTCTTTTTACCTAATTAAAAGAATTAAACAAATTAATAAATTTATAATCTTCTTCTTTGACAGCCACTCTCCAGGAGACTTTTCTGTTCATCTCCTGGGGCTCTGGCTGCTTTAATTTAAATTTCTAAATTCTATTTCTATTCAATTCTTCATAAATTTTTTTTTTTGTTTTAATTTTATTTTTTTTCTTTCATTTTAATCCCTATGTGGAGTTCGTCTTTTTCTTCCTGTTTCTTAGTTTAACGTTTCATTTCATCTCGTTGTTGAAGTTTTTGATTAATTCTTTTGTAATATATTTTTATACACATAACAACAATGGCTGAGCATTCACCAGATAAAAAATCTGGTTGCGGGTTATTGAACGCGGTGTTTGGAAGGCGGTGGCCGCGGAGAACCACCTCCACAGGTTCACTTCCCATTGTCAATGGCGGCAGCAATAAAGATTTTGTCAAAATGCCGAGCACTCCCAACTCGAAGAGAAGAAGAAACAGTGCTGACGAGAACGTTTTCACGGAAAACGAACCTGAAAACTTATCGGAAACGCCTCAAAAACCGGCTGCGAAGCCGCCTCAGATGACGCCGAATCATCCGAAACCGCCCCAGCAGCAGCCACGGAAAGCTCCTGAACATGAACACTTGGCGCCGCCGAAAGCTCAGGCGAACAATTTGGGGTATGTCAACCAGGGAAGGAGGGTTCCAAAAGAAGCTGTGGGGATTTCCGGCGAGCTCGAAAGCATGATTGCCGAACAGCAGAAGGGTAGAGGAGGAGGAAATCTCGTCAGGGCGTCGTCGAGCAACGTGATGTTGGTGGGAAATTTAGGAAACTTGAAGACAGGCGGAGGAGGGAACGCAAGTTTATACGATCAGTTAGATAGTTTTTTTCCGAAACCAGCAAGAGAGCAAGAAACAAGCACAACATCGTCATCTTCGTTGGCCGGAAAAGCCAATAATAACAAATATCCGAACAGCGTGATGGGAAATGTGGTGAAGAACAAACAGAATAACGATCAGCGAGATAGTTATAAGCCGAAACCGGGTCCAGACTCTTCGTTATGCAGGGCGCTGTCGACGAGAATGGATCCGGAGACGTTGAAGATAATGGGAAATGAAGATTACAAGATGGGAAATTTCGCGGAGGCCTTGGCCTTGTATGATGCTGCCATTTCTATCGACCCTAATAAGGCGTCGTATCGGAGCAACAAAAGTGCAGCATTGACAGCTTTGGGGAGGCTTCTTGAGGCAGTTTTTGAATGCAGAGAAGCCATTCGGATTGAACCTCAATATCATCGAGCTCATCACCGTTTAGCTAACTTGTACCTCAAGTAAGAAAATCTTTTTATCCATTTTCATTCTCGCATGTTTCCATTTCAGTATATCTGCGTTTACAGTTCATCATTCTTGCATGTTTCCATCCTAGTATGCATGTATTTACAGTGCATACTGTTTGAATACAGTATATTCATGGATTTTAGTAATTTTTTGTATTGTCTGTGCGTGTTATTAGGTTAGGGGAAGTCGAGAAGGCTATATATCATTACAAACATGCAGGGCCGGAAGCCGATCATGTTGATGTAGCTAAAGCTAAATCGGTTCAATTACACCTGAACAAATGCACAGAGGCCAAAAGACTACGAGATTGGAACACCCTAATTAAAGAGACAGGGGCCGCGATATCAGCTGGAGCAGATGCAGCACCACAGGTTCATTAATCAAACAGTTTTTTTTTTTTTTTAATTAGATTTAATTAATTACCATTTAACATAACTTTTTGTTGTTGTTTGTGCATAGATGTTTGCATTACAAGCCGAGGCTCTACTGAAACTTCAAAGGCACCAAGAAGCCGATGAAGCCATGAAGAATGCTTCAAACTTTGATGTCGATGATTGCACTAGATTTTTTGGCCCCATTGCTAATGCCAATTTGTTGGTGGTAAAAGCTCAAGTTAATTTGTCTATGGGCAGGTTAGTTTCTCTATATTGATAACGTTAATGTTGTCGAGATCAGATAATGTTACTTTAATTATTTCTAGGTAGTTTGACGGTTCATTTAAGGCTCTTGGATATATTATTTAAGAAATCTTGAGTTCGAATCTTCACGACTATTAACAAGAGTGGATCCAGAAATTTCTGTTAGGGTGGGTCAAAATAAAAACTAATTGTACATTAATATTTCTACTGAGGTGGGTCAAAATCCAGAAATTGTACATATCAATATTTAAAAAAAAAAATTTGATTGTGTTGCATCTGTCCCTGAGTACTGATAAGAGTAGTCATTGAAGGCATACTGTCATTAATTTCAAGGTCTCGGGAGACTAGTTGAGATCCATGCAAGCTACCCCGAACATCCTCAAACACCAAAATTTTTTATTGAACCATTGAATTTCCAATGTCGGAGAAGTTTTGTTTACTTTTATGCGTGATTACAGGGACAACTTGCATTTAAAAAAGAGAGATGGATTAAGAATTGATTAGTAAAAGTTGATGTGAGATTAATTATATGTTGGAGAACAACTCAAAAGGAGGGTTGTAGTTAGAGAAAAGAGGAAACAAAAAGATGATAAAGTTATTGATTACAAAAATCTTGAACCCTACCAACACCAATTAATATTCTGTAAATGATTGGCTTTGGGTCAAGTCATAAAGAAATTTCTTGCCACAATTTTTTTATTCTAGTCCATAAGGAAGTGGCATCCAACCTAGGTTTAAATCCAATAATCGTAGAAAGTGATACGTATAAAAGTAGTTATATATACAAACTTTTGTATGAAAAAACTGATGTGGTAATGGGATTACAGATTTGAAGATGCTTTGGCGGCGGTACAGAAAGCGGCGAAACTAGACGCAAACAACAAGGAAGTGAGCATGGTGATGAGGAAGGCTAGGGCAGTGGCGGGAGCTCGATCAAAGGGAAATGAACTATTCAAGGGAGGAAAATTCACGGATGCATGTGTTGCATATGGTGAAGGACTGGATCACGACCGATATAACTCAGTTTTGTTGTGTAATCGAGCAGCTTGTCGATCCAAACTTGGCCATTTTGAGAAAGCCATTGAAGATTGCACGGTTGCCCTTAACATGCGTCCCAATTACAGCAAGGCCAGGCTAAGAAGAGCCGATTGCAATGCCAAGGTAACTAATTAATTTATTTCCCAATTCATATATCACGAATTAAAATCACGGAACAGGAGGGGGGGAAGTGATATGATCCAATATGAGGGGTGGTGATGGTAAGTTTGTAAAAATAACATATAGATCCGTGAAGTTTCAAAATCATCAAAAACAACCTTTCTTGATAGTGTATCGTGTTAGTTCTATTGACTTGTTTTAACATGAACANTCAAACTTTGATGTCGATGATTGCACTAGATTTTTTGGCCCCATTGCTAATGCCAATTTGTTGGTGGTAAAAGCTCAAGTTAATTTGTCTATGGGCAGGTTAGTTTCTCTATATTGATAACGTTAATGTTGTCGAGATCAGATAATGTTACTTTAATTATTTCTAGGTAGTTTGACGGTTCATTTAAGGCTCTTGGATATATTATTTAAGAAATCTTGAGTTCGAATCTTCACGACTATTAACAAGAGTGGATCCAGAAATTTCTGTTAGGGTGGGTCAAAATAAAAACTAATTGTACATTAATATTTCTACTGAGGTGGGTCAAAATCCAGAAATTGTACATATCAATATTTAAAAAAAAAAATTTGATTGTGTTGCATCTGTCCCTGAGTACTGATAAGAGTAGTCATTGAAGGCATACTGTCATTAATTTCAAGGTCTCGGGAGACTAGTTGAGATCCATGCAAGCTACCCCGAACATCCTCAAACACCAAAATTTTTTATTGAACCATTGAATTTCCAATGTCGGAGAAGTTTTGTTTACTTTTATGCGTGATTACAGGGACAACTTGCATTTAAAAAAGAGAGATGGATTAAGAATTGATTAGTAAAAGTTGATGTGAGATTAATTATGTGTTGGAGAACAACTCAAAAGGAGGGTTGTAGTTAGAGAAAAGAGGAAACAAAAAGATGATAAAGTTATTGATTACAAAAATCTTGAACCCTACCAACACCAATTAATATTCTGTAAATGATTGGCTTTGGGTCAAGTCATAAAGAAATTTCTTGCCACAATTTTTTTATTCTAGTCTATAAGGAAGTGGCATCCAACCTAGGTTTAAGTCCTATAATCGTAAAAAGTGATACGTATAAAAGTAGTTATATATACAAACTTTTGTATGAAAAAACTGATGTGGTAATGGGATTACAGATTTGAAGATGCTTTGGCGGCGGTACAGAAAGCGGCGAAACTAGACGCAAACAACAAGGAAGTGAGCATGGTGATGAGGAAGGCTAGGGCAGTGGCGGGAGCTCGATCAAAGGGAAATGAACTATTCAAGGGAGGAAAATTCACGGATGCATGTGTTGCATATGGTGAAGGACTGGATCACGACCGATATAACTCAGTTTTGTTGTGTAATCGAGCAGCTTGTCGATCCAAACTTGGCCATTTTGAGAAAGCCATTGAAGATTGCACGGTTGCCCTTAACATGCGTCCCAATTACAGCAAGGCCAGGCTAAGAAGAGCCGATTGCAATGCCAAGGTAACTAATTAATTTATTTCCCAATTCATATATCACGAATTAAAATCACGGAACAGGAGGGGGGGAAGTGATATGATCCAATATGAGGGGTGGTGATGGTAAGTTTGTAAAAATAACATATAGATCCATGACGTTTCAAAATAATAAAAAACAACCTTTCTTGGTAGTGCATCGTGTTAGTTCTATTGACTTGTTTTAACATGAACAAATAGCTGAAATCTTTCGAGTTTTGGGTACAATGTAGCTGGAGAAATGGGAAGCTTCAATACAAGACTACGAGATCTTGAAACAAGATAATCCCGAGGACGAGGAGGTGAACAAAGGTTTGCTCGAGGCCCAAACCCAGCTCAAGAAACAACGAGGTGGGCCTTGATCCAATTTAGAGCGGTTGAGACACAGACAAAATCAGGCCCAAACAGAACAGGAGCTGCTAGTTTGTAATAGCACCAGATATCAAAACAAGTTCAATTACAAGATCAAAATCAAATCCTGAGAGGAAAAGAAAATTAATTAAAAAATTTCCGAAGAAATCATCCAAAGGGACAAAAATATTAATTTGATACATGTTTATAATGTTAATTACGCGTTAGTTTTTTTCTTTTCTTCTCTGTGATTTTGAGATCTTTTTATTTACAATTTCTGTTAGATGTGAAATTATCAGAAACAGAAAAATCGCAAAACTGTATAGTTATTTGTGTGTAATTTTTTTTTTCTTCCGAGTATTTATTTAATTGTTAATTACTTTTGAGAAACTGAAATGATAAGCAATCTCGATTCTTTTGTTATTTTTGAGCTAAATTGAAATATATTAAAAAAAAATTATGATATTATCGATAATATCACGTCATTTATGTATCAATTCATAATATTTATGATAATAATACTCTTGAATATTAATTAATTATATCTCAAGAAAATTACATCCTACATTTTCGTTCATTCTCATTCTCATCCTCATCTAATGGTCTGAACACGTTCAATGTTCATATTATTATTATTATTATTTTTTTACATAGCAGAAGATAAAGACTTAAATATCCTTTTACGACCCTCGTGTTGGCCACCACGAGCAGCGTAATCAGGACAATAATTCCTTATAGTTGTCAGCTCGAACGGCGTCGTATCGAGTGCCAGCCACTGCTCCACCGTGAACTGCTGTTGAGAGCAAGGCGTGTGGACCCCAGTTGATGTGACCTCAACGTAGTTAACGTACCATCCATGATGCGGTCCTGAGCCGTCCGATGTAAGATTCATCGCGCACACAGGCGCACTCAGGCACTTCCCTCTCCCACTAAAAATGTCCAAATTACCCCTCTCGAAATAGTTGTAACCTGGACCCATCAAGCCTCCCCATGACTCCAGATTCGTCATCTCCACCATCTCACCGTACATGTTGTACAACCTCAAGCTGATGATCGAATCAGTTCCCCCCTTGAAGATCGAGCCCGTTCTAATGTACACCGTATACACACAATCTTCTCCGTCCTGCAAACATAATAATAACATTAAACCATTTCAAGCTCGAAAATATTGATACGACAACATAAATCGGGTGAATAATAAACGTAATACTTACCGAGAAGGCGATCGTGGCGGAGGAGAGGAGGAGGAGGAGGAAGAGGGAGAGAGTCTTGGAAGCCATGGCTGAGTTTGTGGAGTGAGTGAGTTGAGTTTACTAAGTTTATATATAGACGATAATACAAGGGCCACGTGTTAATTTTGGAAATATATTTATGGGATTAAATCGGGGAAATATTTAAGTAAATGAAGGGTGAAAATGGAATTTCAAAATTTATAATTAACAAATTTCTCCTAAGATGGAGCCAACATTTAAGGGATGAATTTTTTTCTAAATTGAAAGAAATTTATGATAAATTAATTTTGAGGTGGCAAGCCATTATTGGTTAGAAATGAACAGTGAGTGTATGGGTGATGGAGGTGAGTCAACAATATCATAACCCTGATGAGGAAATTACTAGGCTATCCTTGGAATACACTAGACTAGATCTGAACGGGTGTGGGGACAGCACTGGACAGCACTATCTGTAGAAAGGACATAATAAAAACAGTGTAGTGATAAGTGAGAAAGGCAATTTCACATTGATGACTTTTGGCTGTATGTTCATTATTATAGTTAAGAATTAAAAGCATATTCCAAGTGGAACATGTGATGCACATGCGGTGGTAGGTTAACAAAGATCTAGTACATTTTAGGACTTATTATAGTACAAAGATAACGTTTCTCTTTTATATCTGTCATTGGGCAAGATTAATATTTACCCTTTGGTTACAGATTGACACTTTTGTTAGAGGCGATTTCGTTCATTGGCATGTAGATGCAACTTGGTGAACAAGTTTTGGGTTAAGAGGACTTATTATAGAGCATGGATAAATCCATTTTGCATAGATTTACGCAACGTGTTTCAAGGATGCATTGTCACCAGGCCATGTGTCGCTTCGCAAGAGGATTACTTTATTTGTAAAACTGTCAAGGATATTGCTTCATTGGTAAGTCTTGGGGTTTAGTTGTCAATCAAACCGCGTGTCATCTTATGAGAGGATTACTTCATTTGTAAGTCTACCTCAGGTCGTGTGTCGCTCTATGTAAGGATTACTTCACTAGTAAGTTCATCAAGAAAACAGTATATAAAGGGGTCTTTCACCCTAATGACGGAATCTTTTTAATTAACACCGTTTTCTTGCTGTAAAAACCGTCTCACCTATACTTAGAATTGAGTTTGCTTGAACTTGAAAAACATACAAAAAATAATAAAATAACAGTTGACGTAAGATTTACACCTTACAACTGAACCACTTAAAATATATTCACTATTCTTTGTGTTCATTCATCATTTTAACATTAATCTAGCCTTAAAACACCGGTTTACTATAAACCCTTGTGTAGATTTCCTCACGAGATTTACGTACGTCTTGTTGGTGTAAAAACTTGCATCAACAACACTTTTATATGTTAGCAATAGTCATTTTTTTTATTGAAGTCATGTTAGTGTAGAAACAATATTACCTTCTATATAAATCATCATATGGTGATTTAGTAAATTCATTTATCGGTGGGATTTACTATGAATTGAAATGCCTAAACTTGATCTACTAATCCGCGATTCAAAAATGAATTTTCGTTTGTGTGTATACAATATTTACCTGTTTATATATGTTATACAAAGACGTATAAATCGCTATAATATCATACTAAATAAGGTAAACAGAATACAATACAAACAACATATAGCTAGCTATTATCTAACCAATTTACAGTTAAATAACATATTAACACTAAAAAAATTGATTGAGCAAATTTCTCTCTACATCAATACCCTATATTTGTTAATTTAAACCATTCTTAATTAGGGTTACAACCTATTTTTGTTGATTTCAATTTATATTAAAAGGTATTAATGCTGTTAATAAAACAATAATAGTAATAACACAAATATTACTAGTTATCTGCTCTAGCTCACTGCATAATCACTGTAATTAGTGGGATAAATGCAATTATAATTAAAATTAGCTTAACAAATTGATTATAATACACTCTACAAAGTTTAAATTTAGCAAAACAAAAGATGATAAATTAAGACATTAATCAATTAATGAATATAACTAATTAAGCGTTAGGGGTGATTGCCATTAAATTAAACATCTCTTGCATTGACCAAGTCTCTACCATTGAAATTAATTTGGATGACCAAAAGGCCATCCGCCATCCCCTAGAGCCCTAAACTCATTTCTGACACAAACTGAAAACATGCATTATCTTCCGAATTTCAACCACCTCTTCCCATGCAAACCCTAAATTTCTCCTTTTCTTTTATTTCTTCCGCTTGCCACCCAGAACCCTTCTTTTTTACGCCGCTCCCCATTCTCGCATGGAGGAGCGGGTTCCACCTACCGGTGGTAGTAGCAGCGGCGGTGACCACCCAAATGAGCCACCCAACCACCACCACCACCCACACCCTTCCTTTGAATACAAAACACAACCTATAACATTTACATCAGAGCAAGAAAATGATTTGAGTATTTACGTGGTACAAATTCCCAAAGATCAAATTTATCGCGTTCCACCCCCCGAAAATGCTAAGATCGTAGAACATCATCTCAATAGCCCGACTGCAATGGGGAAGAGATCGGTTTGCAATCGTGTTTTGTGGATTATTATGATCTTGGTTATCATTGGTGTTGTAATCACCATAACCCTAGTGATATTACACCAAGTTTATCGCCCTAAACCGGCTGCTTTCTCCATTGTGAACGTGCATGCTACGAACAAATCACGAATTGGGTACGACATTTCTTTGAAAGCAAGAAACCCTAATGAAGAAATTAAAATCAACTTTGCAAGTAGTGGTGGTGGTGTCTCGCTATTTTTCAAGACAAAACAGCTTGCCATGGGCGACTTTCCGAAATTGCAACTAGAAGGAAGTGATTCAAACACTGTTCTTTTAAACCTAGCCGGATCGAATGGAGCGGTACCTCAAGAGATTGACCAGAGTATCAATGACAAAAAAATCGATCATCAAGTGTCACTAAGTCTTAAAATGAAACTTAACGCAGATATGAATTTAGGGTTCTTAAATCTTTGGAGCAATGACATGAATGTGGATTGCGAATTCAAAGTTAACGCATTGAGGGGCGCAGGTATAAGGATTTTATCACAAAAATGTAATAGTTAATTAATTGAATTGAGTAAATTTTTAATTTATTAAGGTGGCGTAGATGGTGGTAAATTAATTGTGTTCATGCAATAGGAAGATTTTTCGATATATGATTCTTTTTTTTTTTTTTTTTTTTTCTTGATGATTGAATATTATAATTGGTATCAGAGAATGGACTTATTGTGTATTATTATTCTTATTTTTGTTTTTAGAATTTATTGAGATTTATGATTAGGTAATCTTGGTATGATCATTCATTTAATCTTAATGAATTTTTAATTTCTTATTTGATTCTTCAAATATTTCGATTTTCTTTTATGTTTTAAAAATTATTTTCTGATGTTTTTTCGCGCTTGAAATTTTTTAATTATGTATTTCTTCTTGTAAAGCGATTGGTGTGTGATGGTCAATTAACTAGAGTTCAGTTATTAAGGTTCAGTCCTTGGCCCAAATCTCAATCTGTTGAGGCCCAATTACTAATTCTCTAAGCCCAGTTATATAGTAGTGGCCTCAAACCCAAAACCCAATGAATAATCTTAAGCAAGGAGGTGCAAACAATATTGTTTGCCCACTAACGTTACCGGAGGAGGGTTTAGGGTTTAAGATTTAGGGTTTAAGGTCAAGGTCAACCATTGGATCTCTTTCTCTCTTAGGGTTATTGGCACGGCGACGTTACCATGTTGGAACCATAGTATTACCCTCTTGTTGGTCAACCTATAATTATAATGGACTTGATATATATACATATTTCTCGAGGATTACTTTATTTTTATACAAAGACTTTAGAAAATCCAAGCAATTTTATGATTTAAAACCATATTAAATAACGATTATAAACAAAAAAAAAAAAAAGTTATGCTCGACCCTTGCTATCCCATATGATATGGATGCTTCAATAAGACTCGAGTGATCGAGACAACTCAAAAAGATTTAGAGACTCTCTCAACTTCAACTCCTTTTTCATTATTTTCTCGTATTTTCTTAATGGGAGAACGACATTTTCCCACCCAAGGTTTGACGAAACGACACTTTTCCATCCGTCAAGTTTCAAAATGACACTTTCCCACCCTTCGTTAGGTTCTGTTAGTGTTTTCTGTTAATATTTGATTGAAAAGACAAAAACACCCTTAAATAGTTTATTATAAATTAAAATTTAGTTAAGTTAAAGTCTTTATTTGATTATTTATTAGTCCAAGTGTAAATATACATTTTTTTCTTTGTTTATTTAATTAATTAGAAATATTGATTTTCTATGTTAATTAGTAAAAATGAAAAACATTATAAATTTAGTAGATTATTAAATAATAATGATGAGATATTGATAACATTATAAATAAATAAATATTAAAGTCATTTAATTTTAAACAATTTCATAGCATTACTCTTTAACTTTTAAGTGGGGTTAACTATTTTTTCTTTTTTAACTTTTTAATAGTTGATTTTTTGGCTAATTAAAAAATAATAAAGTAAAATACTGAAGGGTATTTTCGTTTTTTCAATAAAATATTAACAGAAAACATAACAGAACCTAACGAAGGGTGGGAAAGTGTCGTTATGCCAAACCTTGGATGAGAAAATGTCATTCTCCCTTTATTAATTTGTTTCCTAAACTTGTCACTTCCGTATACTTTTATTTATATAACTATCGATCATGACCTTATATTTCCTTTCTGATAATTTCTTGACACACGGAATTGTGAGTTGTATCAAAGTTTCAATTTACCAAAAATGTAGAACAAACAGTCACCAAAGTAGAATAATATAATTGTATGGGATGAAAGGTTCATAATATTTTAAAAGAAAGCTAGATATCTTCAAGCTAGTGGATTTGTACTTTAAAAGAGTGTTGGATTAAAGGAAGAAAACTTTAAAAGAAATGTATTACGTAGTTATCAATACATACAGACTTTACTTTGCTTCCTTTTTTTTTTTTTTTTTTTTTTTTTAATCTAAAATACTTTACAACTTACTATCATGGAAGTATATATAAAGAACCACCCACCTTTTCTTTTCTTTATTTTTTATTTAATTTTTAAATTATTTTATTTCACATGGTTTGTTGTAAATCATGCTTCTCTTTATTGGGTTCAAATGGGTTCTTTCTTCTTTATTTAATCTTAATTAGTTATCTATCAAATTCATTGCCCATTAATTATTTGATTGTTGCATTACTTCCCACAGAAAGATCATAGACACCTTTATCTTATATTATTTTAACAAAAAGCAAAGTTTAATCGACAAATGTTAAGCTGGTTTGCACTTACCTTGTCTATGTTCTCTTAATTTTCCTTTTATCAATTTAATTAATTTATCTTCAAATCGTTTTTAGATCTAATCTTCTTTTTATCCTCTAAAGTTAATTAATTTTAGTGGGACTTTTTTTTTTTTTTTAATTGTAATTCAAAGATTAGATAATCGGACCTATCAAACAGTTTGTGATTTCAGATTAAACATTACAGAAAACTGTCAGTTTCAGATTAAACATTATAGAAAACTGTCATTCTATACTTTTCTAAAGACTGTATATACATATTTTAAAACTGTTTATGTAAATATCTCATCTAAACATTACAGAAAACTGTCATTCTATACTATTCTAAAGATTGCATATATATATATTTTAAAATTTGTTTCTATAAATATCTCATTTAAACATTACAGAAAACTGTCAATTTCATATTAAACATTATAGAAAACTGTCATTCTATACTATTCTAAAGATTGTATATATATATATATATATTAAAATTTGTTTCTGTAAATATCTCATTTAATTTCAATTAAATCCCTTTTTCATAAGATTTTCGTATTTCTTATTTTCATTATACTACTTCTTAAGATTGTATATACAATATTAAAACTATATTTAAATTTTATATCTTATTTTCTTCAAACTTCTTACTCTCTACATTACATCTTTAATGTCATAACTATGCAAAAAATTTCACCAAGTTCCTCATCAATCTTTTTCTTATATAAATGTCACATAAATTCTGACAAATAGCTCCATCAAATGCTTTATTTTACACATAGACAATTGTTCCCCATAACAAGAGCATCTAGACCACATGGGTTTCCATGTGATCTCTAAGAGCAAGAGCTTGACAATTTTTTCTATCCATTTTTTTATAAAATGGTGTCTCACGACAAACCCATTACCACCGTCCTCCGTGGCTCTCGGCCCTCAAGGCGGGGACTGATTCCCGAGATCGCCACACGTGTTGAAAATCTCTTCGGTGTATCAATGAGTTGCCCAACACGTATGCTACAGGACCATCCCTGGCCAGATCATACATTTGCCAAAAAAAGTATTGCATCCTCATAAATCTACTCAACCAATCAGTCTCACCAAGCACATACATGAATCTATATTTATAATCGGTAAGTGCTAGATGTTCACGTGAAAGAACTTTTAAAATCTCGTCTTATTAATTATATACTCAAAGTTATCGAGATAGATTCATAAAAAACCGTTTCGGAGAGATAATATCATATTATATTTAACGTTATAATAACTATAAGCATTGGGTTGATGGGAACAAGAGGGATTCAACTACATGAATCCTAGAATCCATTCAACTATAAACAGAAAATTATAGTATTTATAGGGATTGTATGGTGGAATAAGGTGGAGGATTCAAATGTTGGTATACAATATAATGTTTTTACTAATGATAGAAGTAAGATTGAAAATATCGTATCATCAACTATTTAGCGAAAATTATCAGAATATATCTATACAAGATTGACAGATTTTTATAATATTATAAGGTCTGGTTTGGTGGGAACAAGAGGGATTGGAGTGTATCATCAACTGTTTAAAGTGAATTATCGAGATATATCTATTGAATTCATTTAATGGATGATACATTATCGGAGTGATTTGGGGAAGGAGAGTTGGTGGCATTAATAGAAGTGAAGATGTGTGTGTTGTTGGTTTGGTAGCAATAATTGTTGATAGTAAAAGAGAGTTTAGTTTAATTGAGTTATGGCACCAATGATAGAAAGGATTTGAATGTAGTGGATTTCATCTTTCCACGTCCAAAAGGAGAGCCGAGGTTGTGAAAGCTTGGAGGCATGTTAGTGTCCTATTCAAAAATCCATGTGTTTTCTTCACATCAAAACACTCTTTTAAGTGGATTCCAACTCCTCTTTCAACCATTTTTTTTTTTTTTTAGATTCTCTTACTTGTTAGTGGTGGGTTTCCCTTTCAATAGCCTAACCAAAAAAGTTTATCCTTCCTTCCTCACTCTTCTCTAGCTCTCATTTCAAAGTTATAATAACAACAAAAATCGAAAAAATCGAAAAATAATTAAATAAATAGAACAAAAAAGAGTAAAAATAAAAGTAATAAATGGGTAGATATAGGATTCTATTCATGTCTATAAATAGTTAGTCGAATGATCAAACCTATAATTCAAAGACTATATAATTCTACAGAAACTACAATTTTAAACTCAAGTTCACAAATGTTGGTTGAATAGTAGAAGTTATGGTTTATTTTTACCAGTTTCGAACTAGGGTTCCAATTTCGAACGTAGATTCATATCATTCTTTTAATTCAGTGGGGTTTCCTCTAAATCTAGAGAGCCAATGACACAGATTTATTGTTTGAAGAACATGAGCTTGCTAGTTGGAACCTTAGAGCAGCTTCTGAGGCATGTTAGAGAAAATAAAATAATTATATAGTCAATTCAAATAATTTGTAATGGAATTTTAATAATAACTTTTACCTATGTCTTATTATGGTGACAACTCATTTTTCATCTTATAATAAGGTTTAATATAAGGCTTAAAATTAAACTAAAATTCTTGTCTCTAAAAAGGGTGTATTACACATATATGGTATGTACAAAAGGAGGCAGCTAGCTACCCATAACCATAACATGAGACAAGCAATTAGATTATTAATTACACGTATTACCAAGTCATTTTCTTTTCTAATTTAATTATGCATTAATTAATTAATCATCTTTGATCAATAATTGAAGAGATATAAAGGCTAGGTAGTTGTTCATTTTAAAATATCCCAATAAAATATAAAATAAAACAAACATAGAAACTTAAAGGGAGCAAGTAAATGAAGAAAGGTTTGCCATCTTTTCAAATATCTACCTCAAAAATTAAGCTTTTGACTCAGCATTAGATACAATTTAAAGTAAAAAAAGGAACCTAGCTTCAACATATGATATGGGGCCTCCACATAACCCTAATTTTCTCTCCAATAATCCAATCATAAATTAATGGTTATCATTATGATATGTCTATTCTTATCTTAAAAGTAAGATCAATCATCTAATTAATTTTTTGTACTATAGTGATAAATTTTGATTAGTTTCTACTTGCTTCTGATGATGACCTTTTGTTCTTGAAAAAAACCCTTTGTGGCCCTAGAAAATTGTCGGGAAATGAGGTTCTTTCTTGTATTGATCAAATTAAAGTTTTGTTAGCATTCTATATTTGAGAAGCTTAATGTGTTTATACTTTATATTGGACCAAGTCATTGTTGGAGTCGTTTTTTAACCTGATTATTGCTAGGATAGTACGAGTTTGATAATAAATATATCCCAAAAAAGAAATACATTTTGAGTTATTTTTATAAGTGAAATCGACACATTTAACATTATAATTGTCAATTAATTAATGAAATATTTATTTTATTCAATAATACTAAGCAATCTAGTTTGGTAAAGGTGATGTTAACTGTCCCAAATAAACTAATTAAACCGAAAGGAAATTTTATTTATAAAAGGGTTCCTTTTAATTGCAATTATTGATGGTTGATACCCTTTTTTTCTTTTGGCTTCATATCAATTATAATACACTAATAATAATAATAATAATAATAATAATAATAATAATAATAATAATTAACAACCTTAATTAAAGTAGGTGATTGAGTAATTAATGAGTTGAGAGCTTGTAATTAATTGATTTGCCTTGGAATCTTCCTACATTGCTAATTGATTCTTTAATTAACTTCTAATTAATTTTAACTTAACAATGGTTCCATAACCTTTGGAGAATATTATCAACCTTAAAATATGTCAAATACTTTAATCAATTAAAATTCAATTAAGATTTTAATTACATAATTAATTTACCAAAATTATTCAAAGTTCACTCACTTTTAATTTGCTTTGGTGCACAAATTTATTAATTAATTAATTAAAACCTTAAATTATAAGCCACAAAAAAGCTTTCCTTGTCCTTTATAGAATCACAAAAAAGTTGCAACATATATAAATCCTAGAGCCAATTAATTTTTACCTAATTATTTTACCTTTACATTACCAAATTAAACCCTGATTAGTATTATAATTTTTAATCAAAATTTGTATATCCATATATAATTATTTATTTATTTAGATTTAGATTTAGATTCCATTATAGTTGAACAAGAACAAGAACAATTTTGCTTCCATGGTGAGAAGAATTTATGATAATTTGCAAGAGTGCAAGCCACGTAAAAAGTAGTAAAAGGAATAATTTCCTTTTTTTTTTTTTTTTTAAAAATATAAAACTGAGAAAAAGATTACAATAATTTATAATTTATACCCTCGTACATAACTGGTTACAAGATGTACAAGGCCTTCAAGCCCCCCACTAAAAAAAAAAAAAAAAAAAAATAGACATAATTAATCTATAATAATATTTAACTAATTAATTTCCTCATTCTTGTTCATTTTTTCTATATATTCTGAACAAGAAATTACATAATTTCATCGATTTTCCTAACCCTTTTTAAACAATAATATTCAAAAGGGTGTAAGAATTCGATTAATTTATAATTATATTTATTTATAATTATTTTCCGATTTTTCTAGCCTTTAAGTCTTTAACTACATTAATTTCTTCAACGTTGCCCTCACTGGTGTTGCTTCCACTCTACCAACCGTCCCAAAAAATCCATAACCTAAAAAAAAAAAGGAAAATTATTCTACATATTCATGCATGCAAAAATAATACAATAAGTAAATAAATAAAATAATTCCATGAAATTGAGACTTGCCTCGTGAGGCTCCTGTAAAGAATAAGAAGCACTTGTATCCTTGGGAAATTTTGACACAAGAATTCCAAAGCCTTGCCCTCTGTCTCTTAACATCTAATCAAAATTAACCAAAAAATATTAATTAATTAAAATAAATAAAGGGATATTAATTAATCAATTAATTATAATTAATCAATTAATTAGTTTAATTTAACGTTCAACATTGGATACCTTGAATGCATCTTCGTCTGTTCGATCATCTCCAATATAAACAGGGAAGACATCTGTGCAATTGGCGAATCCTATAAAGGAAATTTTTATTTATTATAATGCTAAAATATTTATTTATTTATTCATTTTAATAATAATAATAGAAATGAACTTACCCAGTGATTCTAGCAGAAATTCAAGAGCTTTCCCTTTGTCCCATTTAATAGTAGGACGAATTTCTAATACCTGTAAATATATCAAACAAATTACACTGAAAATGAGACATTTCTCTTTCATATCCACAAACTGAAATTAAATTTTTATTTTTTTATTTTTACGAAACTTTATAATATCCCGAATAATGGGATGCCAAAATCAAATGACACACCTTCCTTCCTTGGTTGAGTCTCAGTTTTGGATATTCCTTCAACACTGACCTAACTTGCTGGGCCAATTCACTCCATTTCTGATACATTCAACAAAAGAAATATTCAGAAAATTATTTATTTTTCGTACTATAGAATAATTATATTTATCAATATATATATGTATATATACCTTTTCATCAACACAACGAAAGTGAACAGACAAACAGAATTTGTTGTGCTCAACTTTAGCTCCTTCTGTCGATTTTGTTTTTTCTACTAAGAGCTTGTAAACCTGAAATAATGTTTATTTTTTAATATAAATAAATAGAATTATATTTTTGTTAATGATATTATTGTGAAGGTGACAAAGTATTACCTCATCGATCATGGGAAGAAATTCACTGGCGGGTTGAAAGAGAACAGCTTCACTGTCCTGATAAACCCAGAAATATAAATAAACATCAAGGTTTATTTATGTTATTTATTGAATAAAAGAAGTAGATGAAAATATTTGAAAAGAAACTTACCTTCTTGTATTTAGAAGCTTTTTCTGGACCTTTAATGTCCATGCCATGGCTGCCAGCATAGTAAAGCTCAGCCAATTTCACAAAGTTATAAACCTGAGCGGAAGATGAACCAGAAGATTACTTAATTTCTGAATGAAAAATCTGAAGAAAATTTGATCCTTTTGAAGCCATGAAAATATATAAATGTACCTTGTCTCGGCACCTGCCACTCACGATGGCAGTGGGAAAACATCTGGCCACCTTTCTGACCGTCTTTCTCATCTGAAACAAGCAGGAAGAAGAAGAACTCAGCGACAGAAGAAAAAGTGTTTTCTGGCAACAGGAGAAGTATTTTTCTTTTATTTTGTTTTGTTTTGTTATATAATTAAAAATTTCAGAAATTAATTAATCAACCTTCTTGGACATGAAAGCTCGATCTGGGTCCTCAACTATGGGTGAAAGAGTTCCATCATAGTCCAAAAACATCACTATTTGTTTCCCTTTTGAGGCGTCAATTATCTGCTCAAACATCTCCAGAGCTGACGGTTGGTGAAGCTGAAAGTTTCAAAACCAAACTCATCATCATNAGCCATGAAAATATATAAATGTACCTTGTCTCGGCACCTGCCACTCACGATGGCAGTGGGAAAACATCTGGCCACCTTTCTGACCGTCTTTCTCATCTGAAACAAGCAGGAAGAAGAAGAACTCAGCAACAGATGAAATAGAGAAAGTGTTTTCTGGCAACAGGAGAAGTATTTTTCTTTTATTTTGTTTTGTTTTGTTATATAATTAAAAATTTAAGAAATTAATTAATCAACCTTCTTGGACATGAAAGCTCGATCTGGGTCCTCAACTATGGGTGAAAGAGTTCCATCATAGTCCAAAAACATCACTATTTGTTTCCCCTTTGAGGCGTCAATTATCTGCTCAAACATCTCCAGAGCTGAAGGATGGTGAAGCTGAAAGTTTCAAAACCAAACTCATCATCATCATCATTTTTCAAAAAGCTGATTTATTTATTTATTTGTTTTACTTATTTATTTATATATTTGTGAAGTTTGATATAGTTTTCTTACAATCCAAGAACTTTGGTCAAGAGACGGATGGGTTGGAGAAGAGGCTCTCATTGAGTCAACCCAAGAATTAAGCCTGTTGCCGCCATTGATTTCCAGGTTTTTCAACAGTTTTTTCTTCGACAAAGAAACGTATCCGCCGATCAGTGGCACCACCGGCGGCTTCTGCGCTACCGATACCGCTGCCGCCACAGTTATCATGTTGATTGTTTCAGCAGGCATCACCGCATTCTGGTTCGCCATCCTTTGTCCTTCTTTAATGAAACTCACTGCAAATAACAACACCACAACAGAAATATTATTATCACATAATTCTAAAAGAATCGTGGTGGTCATAACAAAAACCGAAGCTTACCCATTAGAGGAAATTAACAAAAGGAGAGGGGAAAGTTTCCAGAAACAGAGTGCTCTGTTTAAGGAGGGAGAAAACAGGGGATGAAATGGCAAGAAAATGAAAGTTTGGCAGAAAGGCTGAAGCTAAAAAAGAGAGAGAAGAGAGTATGAGTGGGAGAAAGACATAGCCCGAATGGTCGATTTATAGTTGTGACCAGACACAACCGGACGAGAAATTTGTGTGGCCCACCTTCAAGCTCTAAGTGGGGTCCTTTGAATGGGACACACTTTCTAAATCCTAAAGTTATGGCCACGTGGATTTGTGGCTCGGCCTGGTTATGGCTCATGGCTTTGCTCTCTGCTCTTAATCCTCGCAGTCACCACTCACCCCAATAGTGAGTTTCAAAGAGTGAGCTTCCAATGGTTCCAAACACGTGGCCGACATTCCTCAGCTGAAGTCTTCACAGTTTTCTGCCTAACTGGATTAAGATTCTCTCCTGATCTTAGTTTCGATTATACGAATATCAATTAATGTAAAACAACTTAACTTTTTGATTTTAAATATACCCGAAACAAGTAAGAACTTCAATTATCAATATATGTAGTTGTTAAGAGTATTGTAGAAGTCACTAAAAGGGACATAAATTTGCCTCAAAAAGGAAATTAAGCACATGAAACTTTAAGAGCTAATTGAATTTGCAACGCCCCTTGTAATTTTGGTATAAAACCAACAGCTCAAACCTAATAGAAAACCAGCTGCCAAAAGTTTAATAAATTATTAAATTTAAATTTATAATTACCAATTAATAATGTTTTTAACTTTTTAATGGTTTCTTTTATAATGCTTAAAATCAAAGGGGCATTAGACATTTTAATTTTTTTAATCTTTTATATTGAATTGGTAAAAAGATTTATGAATTATTTTTCTCATATTTTTTAAAATTATTTTTTTCTTGTTTTGGATGACAATTTCACTTGAAAACCTAGCTATAATAAACTATTTTTATAATCCGTCCTTCCCTTAATTACTTAGTCTTATGTTTAGGGAAACCTCGATGTTCCTCTCCTTTAATTTTATAAAATTTTCTAGATTTGCCTAACTTAACATTGTTATCAAATTTTATAGAGTTGTCTAACTTAACATTGTTATATTGATTCAATAATATTATTATATGGATAACATGTTCCCCGTAAAAAGGATTTGATGTGTAAAAGGGATTCGGCAACATTATCATAAGATAATAAAAAGTATCTGATAAAACCCCATGGATAATTTTTTCATATCTCTACCCAATCTACTTTTCCACACCACGTTATTTGTCTCACATTTTCTAGGAAAACAAACAAAATAAGAACAACAATAATAGTAGCAAGTTAACACCACCACAGGCAGAACAAAGAAAAATGAAACCCTAACACGTGTCAACAACCCAGTAACTGATGGAGTATAAAGGAGTGAAATGTGAATCTAAGCGATACTTGGAGCCGCCACATGGCCCCTATAGTATATTACATTAATCTATCTCGACTAGGCAGACATGAAAATCTTTAAGAGAAAATGTCGTAGTCTTATTCAAACATGGAGGTAATTAGCTGCAGGCAAAGTCAATCTGTCAAGAAACAAAAAGCAAAGTACATGCAGAGAAAAGCTAAGGAAAGAGAAAGAAATAAAGAGAGATAGTGTGGTGGTGGTGTTGCAGAGAGCCAGAGGCATTAATAGGGAGGATGAGGTTCTTGCAGGGCGAGGGACGGGACAATTCGTCTTTTTCAACTCTTCACTGTATCTAGTCTTGAAATTAGTTCCCACATAAACAATTTTTTTTTAATTTTTCTAAACATATATATATTATTATTTTCTTCCGTGTTTTTTAGATTTTTTATTTTTTTAAATTAATCTTTTAAGACGTTAAAATTATTAATCGAGTAAAAATTTAATCTTTCAAGACGTTAAAATTATCGATCTAGTAAAAATTTAATCTCTCAAGATGTTGAAATTATCGATCGAATAAAAACTTCAATAACCATCTTTATTAGACAACTTACTGACGATTGAGATGAATTAAACGTACGATCTTTGAAGAGATGCATCTAAAAATCTTAATAGATTATTCTTTGGTGTCCGGAAAGAGAGAGAAATATTTTATAATCAATACTTTCAATTGTACTACAATCTTTTTCGCAGTGATTGTTTGAATTGAGCTAGACAAATTACTGTGAAAAAACCATAGAAAAATATTTATAGCATATTGTTGCAGAAATTATTTTTTAGGATGTGAATAAAATGGAAAAATATTTACTTAATAAGAAAAGAAAAAAAAAACCCTTTTATTATTTTTATGTAATATGATTCCATAATAATGTTTTCCTTTTCAAGATGTTTTTTGGAAGTGTTTTTAAAAATGTTTTCAAAATTTAGTATTTATTTCGAAATATTAACTGTGAAAATACCATAGAAAAAAGTTTATACGTATAGTTTCGCAAATTAATTTGTTTAGGATGCGAATAAACTTAAGAAATATTTTTTTCATATATTATTTGTTTATACCATAGAAATGTGCATTCTAAATAAGCACATGAAATTAAAAATATATATATATATATATATCATATATTATTTGTTTATACCATAGAAATGTGCATTCTAAATAAGCACATGAAATTAAAAATATATATATACTTTGGAAAAAATATCTTCAAAGTAATAAAATAAGAAACTCACGGGATAATAAACAAATGAATAACATTAACTTGCATGACAAGAAAATGAATGAGATTCCTAAAGAGAGAGAGAGAGAGCATAATTAAATAAAATTATTGACTGGAAATTTTAGAAGAAGACCATTGAAAGATTTGAATCTCGATGTTCACACTATGCAAACATAATATGAACTAAGCTTCATTTCCACAAAGAAAAAAGCAAAGAGATTCTGCAACTCTTTCGTCCTCACGTTCAGAATTTTTCACATGCAGGCTAGGGTTTTTTTATGTTTCTGATTCTAAGTTTGGTGGGTTATCTTTATATATATATATATATTTTAACCTTAGAACAAGTTCAGGAGAATTGAGATCTTTCGGTTCATACTTTACTAGTCAAAACAGGAAATTGAAGATGCAGAACCAGAAGATGCTTGGAAACTGCTGGTTTCTTTTTTTTTATATATTTTTGTTAAGCCTCCATTAATTAATTAATTAAAATTAATGAAAAAAGAATACTAAGTTAAAAGTGAAGTCTTAAAAGTATAAAGAAACCCTTTGTTAATCCAAAAGTGATCCCGTGTTCTTCGCCTAAATCTTCGCTTTTAATCTTACTTTATTATTGTTAATCACGCTTATTATTCTCTCATTGTTTCTAGATTTGGCTCTCCTCGTTGTAATTATTCTTTTTATAATTATTTATGCCAATTTTAAATAATCGTTTTCCCACTATCTTTCTCTCCAACCTCATTTGTAGTCAAGTTTGTAATGAGTAGGCATGATTTTATTTATTATTAATCCAATTTAACTTACTCGAGATAGCTTGCTTCATTATTTTTTTATTTTTTATTTTTTTTTTGTCCAGACCAATTTCAACCCTCTAATGGCCACACCCTTATTAATAATTGAAGATAATTAAATTTAAGACTTCTTAAATAACATAATCAAAAGTCTTTATCATCTCTTCACCATTCAAGGATGACTGAAATAACTTGCTTCATTGTCTTAGTATTAAAAAATTTGATTTCGGACTTGTGAATTTAATTTTAATATTTTGATATCAAAATATTAGATTCATTATACATAATGGACCTCATTGAATATTCTAATAAACACCATTCGACCACTTAATACTATGATAATTATAATATATGTTTTTTTTATCTTCCAGAGTCTTGATCCAAATTATAACCTGACGGTATATTTAATTAAATAAATAATTAAAAACCCTTGTTTAACATTGGATTAATTTAATTAATTACCAAAGTTTTAGTGTTTACCGTCTGCCCAACAAGAGAAACCCACGCACGCATGCGAAAGAGAAAGAGGAACCAAAGGTAATTTTTTGTGTACAAAGTCCGACACCACACGTGTGGCTCACAAAAGCACCAAGATTTGCACACGTGTCATCAAGTTAGTGAGTGTACGGTGATGACGGGTGGGGCCCGTGGGGGCCAAATTTTTTGAGAAAACAAGCCACGATGGTCGGCAGGATTCGAGAATAAACATGCAAGTTCACATGTAGGCAGTTTGGTGGCTCTTAGTGTAACAACGTGTAAAACTGTAAAGCTTTAAAAGGGATTTTGAGTGAGTGAGTGAGCAACCACCTTGCAATGTTGGTAGAGAAAGACATATTTTCATGCTGTGTTCGAGGTGAATATGTGTTTGGTGTATGTTCAATGGTGGAAAGGAGTTGTTCCTTGTTTGGATGATTGTGAGAAAATTTGTAAAAGGAGAAGTTGTATCGTAGCTAGGTCAAGGTGTGTTTAATGGAATGGGAGAAGCACTTTTGAATTTGGATGCTTTTAGCTTGGGGGCACATGGGTTTGCAGCAATAAGTGAAGGGATATGATGTCAAGTCATATTCTAATTCATGCATTGTGTCTCTCTTTCAACTTACTAACCTATGAGGTTCCGATACTCTTTTGGTTACTTATAGATATTGACCATTTCCCTTTCTTATTTCAATGGATGTAAATGTTCGATGACGACATATCTCACACTGAAAATATTTTTTCGATCTATTACAACAACTAATCAATAAAAAAGGTAAGTGTAGTGTACTCGATTGAATATAGTACACATGTTAGTTGATTGTATTACAATAACATGCGTAAAGAAAATGTTCTCCACCTCTTATTGGCATTCATATTGTAATTATTTTCCTCTTTTAGAACTTTTTTATAAGATAGTTCTTGTCGCGATATGCAAGATAAGATGTATCTCAATTATTTAAGAAATATTCTTTATTGAATGACTCTCTTATCTACAAAAATTATTCATGACACAACATGTTTATTGTATGAATATAAATGATTTTATCTTCACTTATTAGGTTAATTCTCATATCATATGAAACCATTATGCTTAAAATTTGAAATTGATTACTAAATAGTGAAAATTCAGCGGTCAAATACAAATTTTCGATTAACACTACACTAATAACCATTGTATGAATAGTATAAC